ACTGTTTCTGTTGGTACATATCTTTCAGTGGTGGGCATCCTTTTATAGTTTCGCTCAGTGCTCATTTATTGAAGATTAACTTTTTATTTACCCTTCGAACAAAGAACGACTGAAAGATAAAATGAACATTAAAAAACATCAGTGTTCGAAGTACCTGTTAAATATATACTAGGCAGTGTCACTTAACTAGACCTAGTTTATAGTTCAGACATTTACCAAAGTGACTGTGTGATTGTCAAGATTCACCGGTGAAAGTCAACAGCCACCAATTGTGGATATTCTCAATAACAACTACGAGTATTTGAAATTACATTGAATTACATTTTCTTTCTTCATCTGTATGTCTTACATACTCCGTTGAATAATTCTAAAAGAGCAATGGATTTTATTTAATATGATATATAATTATTTCTTTTTAAACTTGGTCACTAAATGACCTAACGTGGTCTTTCGTGTTTTATATTTCTACCTGGTCATCTGAGGTTTGAATTAAATAATGCTAAACAACATGAAAAAACACAAATGATACCACAACAGAGAAAAGGCAGCTTAAGATCAACAATAAAGAATATTCTCCAGTGTTGAAAGATAAAATGAAATACGGAGCTCAGAAGGAAAAATTTCAAATAAATTGTAATGATAAGAATGAAAAGGGGTTATGCCAATGGGGACCGGAGGAAAAGCGCGGGATATAGTGACTAAATAAAAAAAAGAAGCAAGGGTGAACTGAAATAATTGGCAAATCTTAATTAATTAGTGTAGTAACTAATGCATTGTAGAACCAGTGATAATTTTTTTGAGAGCATTGAAGTTATAGTGTAATTTTTGTTTAGTATCTAAGCGGTCTATTTTCGTTGAGATTATAATGCTGTGTAAAAAAAAATAAATAATGAATGTTCGACTACATTATACCACATTTCCTTACTTTTATTTGTACTTTTGCTTTGTTAACATCATAATAAAACACATACATTGATGGTAATTACGCTATTTAGGGTATAAAAAGATTGCTAACTACCAATCAATAACAGAAAAATATTACTTTTTTCTTACATTTATCTTGTTTGAAGCCAACTTAGAAAGAATAAGCTATGAAAACAAATTACTACGCGCATTAACTAAATGACAAGTGAATTTTTTAACAATGGAGAATAAATTCTTTTGGTTGTCAAAATTGAATCAGTTATAAATTCCATTTAAAAACACGTTCTAAAATTCATATGAACTAACGCCATTCTAAAAATAATTAACTTAGATTATATTCTTTCTTGATGTCTCAGTTTTGTCGATTTCTAAGCTATACTTAGTGCTTTACGTGTGATTACTTTATCATCTAGATCAGAAATATTTTTCTTGTAACCACCTCTGCAGTTTGCAGAAATAATGCTTATTTTTTACTTTTATTTAAAGTAATTTTTTCTCAAATAGTTTTATAAAATAAAGTTTTTCTTAAAAATATTTTTGCAAAATGGTGGCTGGGGAAGGTTTGATCCATACCTTCAAATCAAGGATTTTGTTAAATACCCTTGGTAACTCGAGGCGAAGCAGTACATGAAGAAGAAATGAAAGACAATTCTTAAGACATTGAGAAAGCAAAGCAACAGGCAAAAAAAAGTGAATAATGTTACAAAAAGCGTATTTTGTAGTTTAATTTAAATAATACAATATAAACTAATAATAAATACTATAAGTTTTCAAATAATTTGAACTAGAAAACTTGGCTATGATTTAGGAAAGAATATTAAAATGATTCAGTTGAAAGTGGGTCAAACCTTTCATATTTCCCCTATACTTTGAAATCACATATTCTTAAATTCACTAATGTAAGAAGTATTATAATTTGTCCCTAATGTTAAATAAAAATAATGAATTGAAAAAATTATGAATAAATCAAAAAATATTTTAATTACATTTTTAAATTAATGGAATCATTCAGTGATTTTGCAAGAAAAAAAATTATGGTACTCAATTATTTTGAACACTTTTATTTCAACTCTTATAATTTTGATTCTTAATTTTAATTCTTAAAATTTTTATGTATATATAGCACTTACATTAAGCAAATAGTATAAAGATTAAAAGTTATACATTACACAAAAATACTCATAGCCAGTAAACACACAATATTTAAATTATAAGTAAATTGTCACACATAAAAATTCCATTTTATACAATGAAAATTCTTTATTATTTTATACATTCAAGGCAATAAAAATGGTTACCAAATCATTCATTCACGTGGCATTAACGTGTCTAAACGTTTTTTTTCACTCCATTTAATATTTTATCTTCTTGAAATTCCTTGCTTTCTCGGCTGATTTTCAGCATATTTATTTTAAATAAAAGCAAGGGAATAATTGCTTAATGCTGTTAAGCTTTATAAGGAGTAGTATAATTTATTTCGTGATATCATGATTTTAAAGGAAGGAATGGTTACGAAAATAAAAAAGGAATATTAAAGTCAATTGAAGAAATTATGTACGAAAGTAAAAACACTTAAAACAATCATGACTCACTATGTCGTCATTTTCAACTTAGTAAAAAATTTTTAAAAAATATTGTAGACTGTTGTTTTAAGAAAGAAGTAAGTCTTAAAAAAGATTGTTAAACATTTCAGAGTAAAATAATTTTAAATGTCTTGAAATTGATTTTCTTTTTCACCTGAGTAAGAATTAGTATATATATGCTTAAATATACTTGTGATGTATAAATATTTCTTCAATATTCTATAAATTATGGCAGGATTTTTACTAAAGTACTTAAACTCTTGTAATGAAATACATAAATTAAATTTTTATCTAAGCAAGCAATTATATTTTATTATTTTGCCCGAAATTTCACGTACTTCAATTTCCTTAGAAATTAAGAAAGTAAATGACACACTGTTGCAATCAAAAACAATAAAAAATATGTAAACTTTTTCAAATCTCCAATGTTGGAAATTAAAGATTTATGTAAAAATGACACTGAAAATATATTTCAATTTGTAGGGGAAAAAATGTCATACAAATGTGTAATGCCATTCGAAAGATATTAATGAATTTTAGTTCTTCAGCAACGAATTTCAAGAATGGATTTACGTAATTTCATTATTGTACTCTGACTACATCTCTTAGGATAATAGCATTAATTTGAAACTCACCTCATGAAAGTTTTCAAACGACAAAAATAAAACATGATCCAAATCTGTGCTACAATTTTTAATCCAACTAGTTAAATTAATCAGAGTAAGACTTGTTTAAGTACATCCATAACACCAGTTTTATGTATAGAGAGATTATTTTGCACACAAATTATTACAAATGAAAATTTAAAGAAAAAAATGATTATTAAAAGACACCAAAAGGTGTGTTTTATCTTATTTAATCAGTATAAATATTCTTCCTTATTTGTTTAATCAAATGATACTCTATCATATGATAGTTTTCAAACTACATATGAATCATATGAAAGTTTTCAAACTACATATGACTCATATGATAGTTTACAAACTACGTATGAATCATATGATAGTTTTCACACTACAAAAATAAAACATGATCCAAATCTGTGCTCTAATTTTTAATCCAACTAGTTAGATTAATCAGAGTAAGGCCAGTTAAAGTACATGCTTAGCACCAGTTTTATGTATAGAGAGATTATTTTGCACACAAATTATTGTGAAATGAAAATTTAAGGAAAAAATGATTATTAAAGGACACCAAAAGGTGTTTTCTCTTATTTGATCAGTATAAATATTCTTCCTTGTTTGTTTAATCAAATAATACTATATCATATGATAGTTTTCCAACTACATATGAATCATATGATAGTTTACAAACTACATATGAATCACATGATAGTTTTCACACTACAAAAATAAAACATGATCCAAATCTGTGCTCCAATTTTTAATCCAACTAGTTAGATTTTTACACAGAAATTATTGTGAAATGAAAATTTAAGGAAAAAAATGATTATTAAAGGACACCAAAAGGTGTTTTCTCTTATTTGATCAGTATAAATATTCTTCCTTGTTTGTTTAATCAAATAATACTATATCATATGATAGTTTTCAAACTACATATGAATCATATGATAGTTTACAAACTACATATGAATCACATGATAGTTTTCACACTACAAAAATAAAACATGATCCAAATCTGTGCTCCAATTTTTAATCCAACTAGTTAGATTTTTGCACACAAATTATTGCGAAATGAAAATTTAAGGAAAAAAATGATTATTAAAGGACACCAAAAGGTGTTTTCTCTTATTTGATCAGTATAAATATTCTTCCTTATTTGTTTAATCAAATGATACTATATCATATGATAGTTTTCAAACTACATATGAATCAAATGAAAGTTTTCAAACTACATATGACTCATATGATAGTTTACAAACTACATATGAATCATATGATAGTTTTCACACTACAAAAATAAAACATGATCCAAATCTGTGCTCCAATTTTTAATCCAACTAGTTAGATTAATCAGAGTAAGAATAGTTGAAGTACATGCATAACACCAGTTTTATGTATAGAGAGATTATTTTGCACACAAATTATTACAAAATGAAAATTTAAAGAAAAAAAATTATTATTAAAGGATACCAAAAGGTGTTTTTTCTTCTTTAATTAGTATAAATACTCTTCCTTATTTGCTTACTCATATGTTATACACCTTTGCACATTTTTTTCACATATGATATTATACACTATTGCACATTTTTTTCACCTTTTTTTATCAAAATTTTGCCTTTTTCTATTTTAATTTCATAATAAAATTTAGACTCTTACAATTCTAAAACAATTTCAGTTTTTCTTGTAAGTGAATCTGAAATATTTTCAAGATTTTTTATAAATTCTTTGTGCCATTTATGTCTTGTGCTACCTGTTCCATTTAGTAATGTTTTCTCAAAATTGTCAATTCTAAAATATATTAAAATTTGATCTTAAAATATTGCTAAAATAAAGCTGGATTTTGGCATGCATAATTTTAATCATAACAGTTTTAATCATATTCCGAATAGGTTCGACTTCTGGAATGACTCATATTTGGCAATTCTCTGTTCCGATATCGCTTTACGGGTGCAGCCTCTCTAAGTTCAATTTCTTCGCATTCTTGGTGTGAATTCCTGGGTGACATTCCGCTGTCATCCATTTGAGTTGAGCGAGTAATAAAGGTAGCTTCTGTGTGCTCTCGAGTTCGAATACACGGTAACAGCTTTGTAAATAAAACTTGTGGTCCAAATAAAAAAATTCCGTACACCAATGGATTGATACAAGAGTTTGATGCAACAAAAATCCTGACATATGTCCGAACTCTCGAATATGTAACTTCAGCAGAGTTCGGATAGAAAAGGTGCCACAGTTCAATGACCACATAGGGTGTCCTACAGCAGATGAAAGTTACTAGAAGGATAGTGATTACTTTTAACATTCGCAGTCTTGACTTCTTCAGAGTTGTGACATTACAGATTCGTTCATGAATACTTTCAGGTAATGAGAGATCAGGAAGGTTTGGTTCATCTAAAAAAAAGTCATATTTTGAAATATTTTATACTATTTCTTTCCTTTGAGAAAGGAAATATGAATTAGGTAATAAATTTTTTTAAAATTCAATTGGAAATACTCATTCCATTATAAACATAAAATATTTATTTAAAAAAAACGTTTACATACCTACAAAGAATTAGATTAAAGTAAGTATGTTATTCATGTATATTCAAATGAAATGGTTCCTTAAATAATCACTGTGTAAAAAGAAATAAAGTATCCCCGAAGTCACCCATTTAGAACAAAAAGAGGTTCGAGGAGCTGTTAATACTTTATTTTTAATTGTAATTACAACTATATAATATTAGCATAGTCATTATAAATAAAAATGTTTGTCTGTATGGGTGTCGTTTTTAGATTTCTAAACCATTTGACCAAAAAAGATGAAATTTGACTTACAGATAATTTGAAGCATGAAGATCACATTAGAACATTCTACAACAAGTCGTTCGAGAGGGATGAGCGGAAAACGAAATGAAATTTTCTGCTTGGTTAGTATTAGCCATTGTTTTATATTTAACTATCGACGATTCAATTTTTAAAATATTTTTAAGATAGCACCAATAATATTTGCCATCTTATTTGATCAAAAAAAAGTTTAATGCACGTACTTTACTTAATTAGTTTTTATTCGCTATGAACTCAATGTAGTTGCTCTGGGGATCGAGCGTTTGTCTTCCAATGAGGTGAACCAGGTCCCAATCCCAGCGATGACTGGTCTAAACGAATTCCTCACGACGTGGACAAAAAGTGCCATTGAAAAAAAAGCAAAATAATTTGGGATCAGGATATTATAGTCGATATTTCATTTTTTTGCTGTATCGCATAAGTTATTATACAGTTTATATATAAACCTAAGTTAGAAACTTTAAACATCAAAATGTTTACATAATATATTTTTTAAGCCTAATGCTGTTCTGCTTTAATTTTATGCGCAATTGTTACAAATTACAATAAATAGTTTCAGTTTTTTTTTCAATATTTAATTTATTAAGTTAATACCTTTCAATATGTTTCTACTTTACTTCAACCGTCTTATTTTTTTTGTAGATAGCTTTCTTTCGTCCTTGGCAGAAAAAACAAACAGGGAACTAAGAGAACCACTTAAAAAAACAAAAGCGTTTGATCTAATAGGAAAACCTAGAGATTCAGTGAATCAAACCGGAAAGCAAGTGATATTGTCAAAACCCATTCAGAGACACAAAATATATATTCATAAAACATGCTTCATAAGACATCTAAAACGATAGAAAAATATTATCTTTTCATTGAGATATTCTTGCGAATTGTAAACATAATCTTTTTTCTTCGCCTTTATTCGATACATCCAATTTTGTTTACCTTATAAAATGATTATAGATTTGCTCCTAAAATCCTTTATGCAAAAATACTTTACGTTAGTAAACAAAAATATTACGACTTTTTTATAATTATCAAACAAAATTCCTTCATTTTTCTCTTCACTCACAAAATATTTAATCATTAAACATGTTACGTCATTGAAAATGAAAAAAATTTCTTCGATAGAAAAATATGATCTATTGATAAATATGATCATCTTATTGAGTTATTCCTTTGAAATGTAAACAAACGTTTTTCTTTGCCTTTATACGACACATAAGTTTTTTTCTGTCTTATAAAATAATTATAGATTTACTTCTAAAATTAATTTATGCAAAAATACTCTACATTGAAGCCAAATATTATGATTTTTATATTTGTTATAAAAAGAAATCCTAATTTTTCCTTTTTTAAATAACAATTGTTTTCTTAAAAATAATAAAGATTATAGTGGACATTATATGTCTTACACTGTGATAAACATGAAATTCGAGACGCATATAAAATCTTTTTACTAAAATTGGATGTTATAGCTATGAGTTTTTTTATTTAAATGGACCAATTATGTATAACAAATTATTCATTTGCAAATAGTTTATGCGAGTATTGAGATTACATTTCGAAAAATACTCAGTGGAATCATATCGATTAGCATGCACGCAAAGGTCTTACCTTTTAATTGCTGCTTAAAATTCATATTTAACAAAGATTAGATAAATCCTACCCCTTTGCATGGAATTTTATTTAAATGGGTTCAGATTAAAACACTCTGTCTAAGCAGTAAAATATGCTCACTAATGAAATACAACTTTTAAAAGACTTTTTAAGTAGAAGCCTCACTTTGGAGAATATGTCAAATATTGAATACAAAATAACTGTTTTGTTAATCAGATTTTGGAAACTTTATATGCTTCATGTCATTAGTATTAAATTTAAAGGCACGTTCATTATGATTACAACAAAACACCTTAGTTTCTGTTGTTTTAAAATTATGATTCTAGAAACAATGGCGCATTTTAAGAAAGAGCAGGGACTTTTGTCCCTGCTTTTTTATTTTAAAATAATCTTTTAAAATTACTAGGTGCAGCGAAAAACAAACCCTGACCAACAATTTTTAAGATAAGTTTGGGGAAAAGGAATGAAATAAGCAGAGTATAACAAATAATAATAGACTTTTACTAATTCATGTAAGACATAAACATTTAATAATACAATTAGTATGAAATTGGTCGCCTTTTGCAGTGATGCAGAGCTTATTGAAACTTTCAGCAGAGTGTCATAAGTCCTTCAATCTGTCTTATTCCAGACAAAGCGATTGCTTTAGGTAATCCAAACTTTTGCGTACAAAGATAGAGTAGAGAGCTAACGAACTATTTCACAATGTTGTTTTGATTGCTTAAACAACTCTAAAATAGCAGATTAACATTGGAAAAAAGATAAAAAGCTTTACGTAAACTTAGAGATAGATTATAAAATATTTTATTATAAATTTTATTTCAGGTTGCAAAACAGCTAGATTTCATAATTAAAGTGGTAGACGAAAAAAATGAGCACACAAATTAAAAATAAATTTTAGAATAACTTTATTGTTTGTAAAATATTGTATAACATTTGTAAAAGAATAACCTATATTCTATGATGCAATTACTTTGTCCCAGTTCTATTGCCCCACCTTGTAACATAAATGCCCTCTAAACATTTACTACTACGAGCAGAATTTATCTTTAAATTGAATTTACGACTAATTAAAATTCCCACCATTTTCTAATTTGATAATTGGAACTCAAATTTAAACAGCGCTTTTGTGTCCAATGACAAAACGAGTCAACATCCACTAATCTGATGTATATCATTATTTTGATGGCATGAACGTCTAAAAATGTGCCTTGCTTCGTAAAGCCACAACACGGTTAAAGGCATCAAGTAATCTATACATAATAATAAAAGCGGCTGTGTGTGTGTGTGTGTTTCTGTAATCACAATATATCGCCCCAGAAGCCTCGCCCAGGCACGAAACTCGGCACATAATTGTGTTTTGACATAATGAAGAAGTATTTTTTTTCTTTTTCAAAAATTTGGATTAGTTTTTTAGTTATCAGTCATTTTGTAAGAAAATCTATGCTTTTTCGTCTTCAAAGAGCCATATTCAAAAAACTATTAAAAAATGCATATACTTTTCTCCACTCTTATAAATGTATGCTAATGCGAACCTTACAATTGAAATATTAATTTTCGACAACTTAAACCAATAATATACGAAGGAATTAATAATTTAATTGTAAAGTTCGCATTAGTTTACATTTATTAAAGTGGAGAAAAGTTTAACTTTTGTATTAAAAATGTGGCAACATATTCGATACGTAAATAGAACGCTTCGCTTTGATATATTTGTCGCTGTTCATAATTGTTATAATAAGTTTTTCTTCTTCTTTCCACGCTCTATTTTTTTTTTTCTTAAGCGAAGACGATAATTTTTGTAGCGATATTGTAGTACTTTGTACAACTAAAAATTCTTTTCACAACACTTTAAAAATATTTACTTTATTTTCTTTATATATACAGAGAACAGTCGGCAAAGAATTCGATTAGGTTGAAAAACATTTCGCTAAAAAGGAACGAATTCCAAAAGAAAAAATAAACAACTTAAAGAATAAAAATGCTGATGCCAGCCAATTTTTTGAAAGTTAACTTAGAAATAACAAACCAAACGATGTTAAATAACAAACCAAACGATGTTAACAAAATGACGTAGAAAGCGCAACTAGATCAAAATTATACAAGCACAACTAGATCAAATTATAATACCTGAGTGCTTGACGTAACAGATATAGAAATAGAATTTGATACCATAAAAAATTATATAGAAATAGAAATTGATACCATAAAAAATTTATTCGTTTTCGTGTTCTTTTCATGTATTTAGCATTTTAGTTTTTTTTTTCTTAAGCGTTGTAGCTATATAATTTCAAACATCCTCAAGAGCTATAACACATCTGCAGCAGAACTGGATATGAAGACAAAATTGCAGGACAGGAACACTTTAATTGTCCACTAATCTTCAGATTTCCTGCTATGTTTTAAAAAACTTTATTTGTGAAAACCTTCAGCTTGGCGGACAGCTGGTCGCCTTAGGCGGCTAGTAACAAATAAAAATAACTTTAGAAATATGTTAGTTTTAATAACGGTATTATATTTAAGTTAACCAGAGCCCTCGGACTACTAGAAAATGATAGCAAAGTTTTTATTTACTCTTCTTCAAGTAACTTTTCCAATTATTTAAAAATAATCGCTTAAAAAATCTAATAATTATTCTTTAACATGGGATTTTCGTTCTCAAAATATTGAATTGCAAAGGCAAAGCAGTTGTTTTTAAATTTAACTTAAAAATCTTAAAATATAATCATAATGAATATCATAAATATATATCAGAGACTCGATCATCAAAATTCTGTGGAATTTAATTTTATTCGGTTAAAAAAAATTTGAGTAAACACAAAACTTACTTTTCAGTTATACTTATACATTAGTTTTGTAGATTATTGATTTTTCTTATCATTATAAATAATAGTTATAGGTAAGTCGAAATACTCTTGTTTTTTAAGGAAATAATGGTACTTTAAAACTAACAAAATGCTCTTTATGCACAAACTTACCTGAGGATATGGAGAACATGACAAAATATCAAAGGGGCCACTCTGTTCCAACTCTTCATTCTGGATATAAGGTTCCATATGTACGTCCTTGTATCATCGACGAAAACATCAATGATTAAATAAGCACTGAGAATGAATCAAATTGTGCGCGAAGAAAAAAAATTCTCGTTAAATTACCGTACTTGTATAAAAATGACATTTTTGGTAAAAGAAAACAGCCATTATTCTGGTATAAAATAAAAATGATTAATAAAGGTATTTTATTCTATGAACTATTTCTAATAAGACAATTTCTATGAACTGCTTAAAATGAGAAATACGGGTATTTAAATCATACATTTGGTGATTTTGCAATTCCTATAGTAAAATTTTTACGGATTTCTTTTTTAAAAAAATAAGGGATCTTATCGCGACACATCTAGTAAAAATACTTACCTGAAAAGTGAATTGAAGTGAATAATGGTTTCAATTCCGTTTTTCAAGGCAGCATGATTAAAATTATAAGAAAATTCAACTTAACTGCCATTTATTTCACCATATTTGGTAGTTTTAACCTTTTTATTTCTAAGACTTTTATCAAATAAGATATAAATAGACTGTTTATCTTGACCATAAGGAAAATAGGCATAATAACGATTTCAAGTGCTATGAAAAAGCTGTACTCATATAGATCAAGCTCTATCGTTTGTTGTACGTATCTTTTTATGAGAGTAGTGTGAGTGGGATATATTTATATATTTCCTTATGCATATGAGTTATTTTAATTAGAAAATCGACTCTTAAATACTCTTTTCAATTTTAAAAACAGGTGTCACAAATTTGTGAAATACAGAGAGAAAATACACCCAGTGTTATAGTGGGATTTGATCCCATAACATACGATTTAGAGTGATTATCGGAACAGCGATACTGAGCGCAGACAAGGCCCAAAAATAAAGAGCAAAGGTAGTGGGCGGAATATCATTGTGCTCTCGAATTTTTCATCTGTTCTTCAATTTGACGAGAGGAATCTCTTTTTTTGTAAATAACATGTGCCTGTGCGTCTTTCTAAACCAAATTTATTTATTGTTAAACATCCAAGACGGTGAGACTCAAACCAGCTACCTCTAAGGTTGCATAGTGTTTGGTGGAAAGGCGAGACTGCTTGACTTTAAGAACTCCCGTGCAAAAAAAATAAGGTGCCGCAATGGATTGATCGTTAAGACAGAGCTACCAGTAGAACACCGAAGTCAAGCATCACTGGGATCTGTCTACGAATTGATCAAGGGTGTGGGGTATTGGTCCTCGTTAAACTGTTCTACCGTAATGCGATCGACTTCGCACACAGGTCGTCGGGCAACCATAGCGGGTGTGTCGTCCACTCTGCAGTTATGCCAAATTGTGATGGCATGTCTTCAGATCCTCATCAGGGGTGTTTCCCAGACGCCAATAGCCAGTAGCCCATTGTGCAGCTCTAGTGTGACGCAAATAAACTACAGCAACAACAACAGCAAAACGAATAATGAAAAGAAAACAAACATTACTTTTCCGAAAAATTAATTTATTGTTGCGTATACCCATACAATATCTTGTTAGGTATACCCATACAATATCATTATAAGCCCTTGATAAATCAAAAAAAAAAAAAAAAGATAGCACAATTTAAAGACTACAAAGATGCATCTAATGTAGCGTAGAGGAAAAGGGTTCGAATCCCACCGTATCCCTATAAATATGTTTATTTTGTCCATCCCTATCTTGAGCTATCTGCATTTCGATTTGTCAAATTAATGTAATCCGATCTTTTTAATGAACACACAAGTCTGTATGATATGCATGATATAAGTAGGTGCAACAATAAATGAAGAAATATATCTAAATAAATATATCTAATTAAATAAATATATCTAAGGTAGATAGGTAGGAGCTTTTTTAGCGTCTTATTATAACTGCGCAATAGGCTATTGGTGATGGTATAGGAAACATCCCTCAGATGATCCGAAGACATGCAGCAAATATATCTGAATAAATAAATATAAGTAAATTAATAAATATAAATAAATTA